CTCTCTTCTCTCTCTTCTCTCGCAGGAGGATCCGGGCAAAGAGCCACTATAAAGGACTCTTCACCTGGAATCGTTTGCCCCGCCCAACTTGTGCAAGGCGTCCTGCCTTCTGCTACTCCGTGCGACTGCCTCCAAAAAGAGCGCCGTGTTTTTTTCCTACCTCGCTGCCCTCCACTTTCCCATTCTGGAGCGCTAGCTTTCGCCCCCCCCTTGGCCTCAAGTTTTGTTAAAAAGCAATTGTCAGTTTGCTCTTCATGAGCGACGTCATAAACCTCCTCATGACAGTTCCGGTGATGGTTTTTGGACACCGCTCTCAATGGTCAAATGACAAGGGAATCCGCGGAGACGACGGCGGTTCCCGGTCGTGGCCGAGGCGACGGCTCTGTCCTTTGCTGCGACAGCCCAGCTGTTTGATCCTGGAAAGCAAGATGTTGAAGATGTTGTTGGTCTAAGACCCACCTCCTGTGGTCAAAGCGCTGCGATGGGGATCGGAATTGGAAGGTATTTCTTTTTGGGAGACTTGGAAGGGCAGGGTGGTTGAAGGTCTTTATTCCTTCTGTTCTATAGTATCCTGAGAACTGAGATTGCAGGTATACTCACTCCGGAAGACTTCAGGATGTGTTCCATGGCCTTGGCTAAACCAATACACGGACATGCGCGTACAACAACTTGATCCCTCATTTGGATGGTTAACTAAGACCTGACCTCCTTCGCACTTCGCCAGCGACCGATCCTTCGATTCCTGACGTCAACGGCCAGCCGTGAGGATTCGGGGTTGCAGCATTCGCTTCTGTCGCCCTCCCCCAGCCGCGACGGGGGCCGCGCCGACAGCGACTACTCTGACGACTTCGAGCCCGCGGGGCCCCGCGTGCCGCGGGCGCCCACGCCGCCGCGGCGGTCAGGCGGGGGCGAAGACGAGCAAGAGGTGCTAAGGAGGGATGTGGTCCACGCGTTCCCCCTCCTCTCTTTTTTTCAAGTACTAGCCTTGGGATAACCTTAGGTCACTTAGGTCAATCTTATTTTCTTACTCATTACCATGGACTAGATAGCAATGTCCGACAAAGGCTTTGTGAATGGTTGCTGTAAAATAGTGCAAACGAGTCTGCTTTTTGAATTAGGCTCTCGTGGCAAGGAGATGGCATGGGGTAGTCAGATTCTCCAGGCAACAAGGAAGGTAGAGCTCCAACAATTGCAAGTCTTTGGTTTTTGCTTTAAAGGATTCGATCTTGCGAGCAGTTGACTAGCAAGGAGGGGCCTTTTGGTGCCGTGACTCACGTGTTTGGCTTAGAGCACGTTTTCAAGAGTCGATCGGGTCCTTCTCGACCCAATTCGCTGCTCCCACCCAGCGCGGCCTGACCGCTGTGGCGGTCGTGAGCTGGTTTTTGAGTGACAAGTGACACTCGCGCGTGGTGGCACTCCCAGCTTGGTCTCCGAACTTAGTTCAAGAACCGGGAACCGGGGATGGACGAAACAGCGGAGCGTTTTCTATTCCTTCGGAGTTTCCAGATGTAAAGGATCAAGAATGGAACGATTTACAGAACCCAGAGCTATGGTTAGCTTTGATGATCCGCCAGTGGAAGGCAACTCATTGGGGATCAACTTGTAAATCCAGAAATCTCTGGTAAAATCTAAAAGAGGCTCCCATTAGCCATTGTTTTGTGTTCCAGATTGACTGGTCAATTGATACTAGTCAATCAATAAATTATGTGTTCAATTGTTTTCAATATGTTCTTCGCAAAGAGGACGACAAATTGTATCAAATTGTCAGCCATGGCCAGGGAATTTTCATCACCGCCACGCTGTCCAGGTGTCCAAAGATCTCCGACACCACCACGCTCTGCCATGAAGAGTGCACATGTGCGGTCACCCACACCGCCGGCCGGGTCAAGGACAGCACCGGCTGCACCAAAGACACCTTCGGCACCCAGTGTGCCACTGAAACCAGCGCTGGCTTCAAAACCAGTTGCACCTGCGGCACCTGCAGCCCCGCAAGCACCAGTGGGTGTTAGAGCCCCTGCAACACCTGCGGCACCTGCAGCCCCACAAGCACCAGTGGTCAGGGCTCCTTCAACCCCTGCTGCACCTGCTGCTCCCCAGGCACCAGTGAGTGTTAGAGCTCCTTCAACTCCCGTTTCACCTGCAGCTCCCCAAGCACCAGTGGTTAGAGCTTCAACTCCTGCTGCACCTGCAGCTCCCCAGGCACCAGTGAGTGTTAGAGCGCCTTCAACACCCGTTGCACCTGCAGCTCCCCAAGCACCAGTGATTAGAGCTCCATCAACCCCTGCTGCACCTGCAGCTCCGCCTGTTAGATCCCCTTCCCCTACAATGCCCGCAGTTCCAACAACACCCGTGGCTGTCAGCCCCCCCACAGCACCCATTGCTCCACAAGTGGCTGTTCCAGCACCTGTAGCTCCACAAGCACCAGTGGTGGTCCGCACACCCGCACCCAGCGCACCACCCCAACCAGTCCCTGCACCCGCCGCAGCTGGGTCAGTGGCTCCTCCCATTGCGCCAGTCCAAGCAGTTCCAGTGGCTCCAACGGCTCCAGTGGCTCCAACCTCCGGTGACCCCATTGCACCCACTGCGCCCTTGCCGCCTCCACCCCCTGCGCCACCGCCTCCACCGGAGGTGGTCGAAGCGCGTGACCGGGCGGAGTGGAGATGAAGGGGTTGGGTGCCAAAGCCAAGGGCTTGACCGAATCGCATGTATAGGTGGCGGTCAGTATGTTAGTCAGTGTTCTATATATATGTCAGATACCTTTGGGGTGTCGGTATATGACACCTATATGACATGTTCATTTGCTGACGTATAGGTCATTTTTGGTGCGAGGTTTGATCTGATACCTTTCAGGTGAAAATGTCGTGGCACCCACGAGTGGGTGGAGGCACCTGACCAAGAGGTGAGACTCCTAGTAGAATTAGACTCTTTAGAGTGTTAACTTTCACGGGGGTAGGCCACCCTTTGCATAAGCGTTTCAACGTTACTTGGTAGGCCCTGGAATCCGCGCAACAAGAATTACATGAAAAGCATGGGTTTAGACGGGTGCGATGTAGGACAACGACTACTACTACTACTACTACTACTACTACTACTCCTACTCCTACTCCTACTCCTACTCCTACTCCTACTCCGACTACTACTACTACTGCTACTACTGCTACTACTACTACTGCTACTACTACTACTACTACTACTACTACTACTACTACTACTCACTACTTACTACTTACTACTTACTACCCATTGATCCTCGGCATAGGATAGCCAAAACATAATATGCACCCACCAGGTGCAGACTTGTTCTTATTGTACACATTGTATACTGTATATAGGAAGAGACAATAACAGATATTACTGTACAAGAAACAACAACTACCATTTTACACCTCTCCAACCCTTGGCAAAGCTAACCAACTCCCGCAGCGTCTACCCAGGAAAAGATGACGCCACGCTGCAGAAAATGCTGGGCGACTTGAGCCCCAGCCGCGCGCGCACGCCGCGCACGCCGCGCACGCCGCGGCGCTCGCGGGGACGCCCGTCTCCTCGGGCGAGGTCACCGGGGCACAGCGAAGGGCGCCGGGTGCAGGCGTGGAGGATGAGTGGTCGAGATGCCGCGGGTCCATCAGAGGGTGCATTTCGTGTCACCAGAGTCAGTGTTGGATGTTGTGGGGCAGTCGATGACCCCGAATCATTGTGAGTCGCTGCCACCCGAATTTGCCAAAGGAGGGTGGCCTTTTAATCAATAAGTTTTCAAGGGTGGTGCTGAGTGTTTGGTGCCGTTTCGTCGCTCGTCGGTCGTATGGGTCGCAGGTTCTGGTCCAACACCGGACTGACCTGTGCGCGCCCATTTGCGATGCCTTGGCTTTGCCGGACTTGGTCTTGGAGTCTGATGCCACCTGGTTATAGATGTTATAGAGTAGTAGCCAATTGATTGGAATTGTCCTATTCATGTAGACTCTTGATAAAGCCTCCAAATATGAAGAGTGGGTGGGTTTATTTATCAAGTGCCCCAGTAAACCTGTAACAGAAGGAGATGTCATCCTGCAACCTAACCATCATCCACTGAAAACTGCTAGTGGGATAAACCGAACCAATTTTTGCATTCATCACTGTCAAAAAGCTTCAGACTTGAGAGCCCCGGAACTCATGCGATGAATTTGTTTTCTAGTTCAACTGTTCTGGAACACAGCGAACGGACAACGAACGGACTGGGCCCCGTTTCTGGTTGTCGTGGCTGTTTCTGGACCGGAAGGGATGTTCGCATTGCTGCTTGCGGCGCAAGCATGTTTGAGGTGGCCATTCAACCTTGGGAATTTGTTGCCAATTCTTGTTCATAGACCTTTGGCGGAATAAGATTGTTGTAGAGATAGAGAGTATACATGTTCATTATGCTATCAGGCAGGCAGGCAGGCAGCAGGCAGCACGTTTGGGAACAAGTATGCTTAATGTGCTTACAACAAGGCATCATGTTGCTGGGGATGACAGCATGCTCCGGCACGCTCAGAGACGAGGTATTCATTCGGCTACCCGAAGACGATTGCAAGGATGGTATACCTGCACACGATGGTTCATGATGGTTCAAAGGTGCTTGTATGCCAGCACCTCCAACAGGTCACCCATTGAAACCCGTTAGGGCCTGACAGCCCTCCATTTCGGAGACCTGTTGGAAGGTGCTGGTAGTCAAGACTTTGCGGCGAACAGGCCCAATAAGTTGAGGCGTTTGGGACCAGTTCTGGAGGCAAAACTCGCGCTCGTATGGTCCGCATCTGGTCATTTGGTCCCCCGAACACCAGGTATGTAGGGTGGCAATATCGCTCAAGTTTGGCTGGAAAAAAGACACGGAGCGCCGGAGCGCTGGATTTGGGTGATTTCAGATCCAAGAGATCTATTTTTGGCACCTCGATTGTCTCAACATGTCTCAACAGCGAGGTTCAGACCGCTGAACCGGCGGATATAGTAATGATATACTTGATCGCCAAGTCACTAGTGATGTCAACACTACTGTTCAACCATGCATGTGTTTCAGGACATTCGCGAACTTGGCAGTGGCATCATTGCACTATGTTTCATGATGGCCTCAACCTGTTTCAACAAATTGTGTCGCACAAGAACTGCCCATACAGAGTTCCGAAACGCCAATCTCAGATCTATCAGGTGACCGTGGCGGGAGTGCGCTTGCGGCGCGGGATGCAGCTCGTGCCTTGCTTGAACGTGGGCTGACACTGCTCAGAGGACTCAATGGTGTACATGTTCATTTGCCTACCCTCCATCCAACAAACATGGGTCCGTGGTTGCCATGGCCCCGAAAGGAAAACGGTTTTCCGAAGAAGAACAGGCTGGGGCTCCACGTAACATGATTGTTTCAGGGAGGGTATGTCTATGTGTTTTCTCGATTTGTCGGCCACATCAGAGAGTTTGCTGAAGAACTGGAGTTCTGTAAATGGGAGGTTTTATGCAATGTGATCGAGTTTATGAAGTGCTAGTTTTACATCTTGCTTGAACTAGTGAACAGAAGAGCTCCATGTTGCTTCCGCTGTTGAAGTGATTTTGCTTCCTTTGTTCAGAGGCTTTGTAACAACTTCCCGTCACAAACCACCCTTCCCTGACCAGGTCGTGCCGAAGAACGCCTCGGTCTTGGCGAAGTCACTGACGCGGAGTCGGCAGAAGCTCCTGATGGGCTTGAAGACCATGAGATCCTTGGCTTTAGACGACAAGTCCCTTGGGGACCAGCTAGAAAAGGGTGGGCCCTGAACAGCTTCTGGGAAACGCAGAATCGCCTAGGATTCTGTAACTGTTTCAGAGCAAGTGAACCCGACCCTTAAGCGTGCGACATGATTTCTACTTTCAAATACACAGACACTGAGACGCTATGTTTGTTGCTTGGCTTAAAGCCCGGTGTGCTGACTTTCAAGTTGTCACGTGCCCAGAGTACATTTAGAGCTGGGATTGGAGATTTGAAATGATTGAAGGTCTCACTTCTGTTCTTCGTGGTGGGAGGATCTCGAGTGGGGCCAAATAAATCCTTCAAAGAGATAGACACGATTCTTTGGGGCAAACGCGTCCGTCCAGCGACCACCTGAGCCGTGTGACGGCTGATGAGTCAGACGTGGAGCAGATATCCAGTGGGGATGCTGCACGGGCAGGGCCCTGAAGTCTTGCTGTAGACTCTGAACATGGCCTCAGGGGTAAGTGATGAATTGTTATTTCAACAAATCATGCAGATCAAGGAACAAATGGTCATGGATACCCCATGACTCATAAATGAAGACATGTATTATCATGTATTTATAAATATATGATACATGCACAAGACATGCCAAATGCTTTTTGGCGGGGGATGAAGAGGGGCTTAGTTTGACTGTTTCATCATTGTGAATGGAGCCCTTCCCTGTTGACACCACGTGTTCGGTCGGTGTTGTTCGCTTTGGCTCACCCGTTCTGGTGAAACCCGGAGGAAGCCTGGTCTTCATGTGGCCGGAGCGAGCGGGGCCGGTGGCATGGGGCCTGCGCAGTGGGGACGGAATGGCCACAGTCACAAAAGCAACTAAGTAAAAGACACTCAAGCCAGGGGGTCTTTTCAGCCAGGGGGTCTTTAGTTTAGCTTTGTTACTGTAGTCATGTTGACAAGCTTCCCAAAATCAAGATGATCTCTATCCTCGTGACGAGGTCGGTGAGGCAATCAAGCTGCCCCCTTTCCAGGTCAGGGTAAGTCATGTGATTTTGGAGATACGAAGGACGTCAGAAACGGACATAGGATGTCAATAGTCTTCAGATTCAGGGTGCCACTCGTTTTGAGTACAAAGCCCACTTACATTCCCCTGAAACAGGCCCATGTTCTTGGTTGACTATTCTCTTAGATGGAAGAAGGGATCACTCAACCCGGCTAGAAACCAGGTATGCTAGGGTACCCCTCGTCACTCGTGGTTTTTCATGGTCGTACAAGCAGGTCGTGTTGATTCGTTTTGTAAATGTACCATCCAAGCATCTTGTAAGGGCTCTTCAGTGACAATGTCCTTTCCCGGTGCCATTCGTCCCGAAAGGAGTACATGGACGAGGCGACCGGGTCACACGGCCTGTCCGTCGGCGGTGCTGGAGGTGGAAGATGATTCACGTTGTTTTCCATTGGGCCGACATACCTAGAGATACCTATAGAGAAGATTCTAAAATTCTGAGTTTGGGTGTTCTCTCTGCAATAGTTCAACATACTGTAGTTCAACCCTCAAGTTTGTGGGTGCAGTGTAAGGACTCAATTTGAGTGTCAGCATTTGTCCAAGACACTGTGAGTTACAGAGACCAGACGCCGAGAGTTGAAGGACTCATTTCTAGAGAATACTTGATAGGTGGGGGACGGTGAGGGGTGAGGATAAGGAGTGGAATAGTCCAGATCTCCGTGGGAAGGACTCATCTCTGTCGTCTCCATGGGCCATTGGCTGGGTCGTTGTACTCCAAGCGGCGCTACGCGTCCTACACGTCCTTCCAACGCTTTCGATATACCCATTGTGTGGTCTTTGTGGCCAGCTGGAAGTCTCACCGATTTCTATGTGAAGCGGTGCCATGCACTGAGGGTCTTACAGTATCATGCCCAGCATGCCCTGTCCATCATGAGTGCCTGGGCAAGTGGCTTCCAGGTTGATCACTGGCCAAGTAAACTGCACCAAAGCACTTCAATGATCTTCAATGGGTGTGTATTGGAATAGGGAAACCACGAAAGACCCTTCCGAACCACTAGCTTCTGACTCTTGAAAAGTCTTTGGCGAGGTGCTTTTCAAGACCCAACCCCAAAAAACACATCAATGATTTGCCTTGGCTCGAAGCCTCTCCCAAAAGCACCATTTTACCTATTTCACATATTTCAGTGCTTCCTTCTGAGTCGCCACTCGTCCAGGAGCCCGACTTCATGACCTGGTGGTGGAAATGCCCCGCCTGTCGTTTCCCCTATCCCGTCCAGGCGCGGGCGCTGATTCTGACCGCAACCCGTGCCGGGGTTGGTTTGTTAACTTGGGTTTTGGTGCCGAAGAGGGGTGATATTTTGATTATAGTTAACTTCATTGGGTGAGGGCCTGAGCTTTGGATTCTCTTTTTTCATGTGTCTTGCTTATAGTTTGTTATAGTTTGGTACAGGTTGGTTGTATTTTTCTTCCAGTTTTGGCTTGTGCACTGAGCAGGGAGTCTTTGGTGTGTTGATGTCAAATTTGTCAGATTTTGGCAAGCTAAAATCAGATTGTACGACTCCGTGTCAGACATCACTGTGACAAACCATCGTGAAAGCTTTGCGTTTTCACAACAAGGAATTTAGATCAACCACCAAATAGAGTCATATGCCTGTGAGTCAAAACCTTCTCCACCAGACCATGGTGGGTTGACATCCCTTGTAGAGGAATCGGTTCATGTTCGGGGTCAACCAGGGTCCCCCTGTTTTGATCCATTGCCATATTGATTTACTTATGCTCAGTCCTGGACACCAGGCAGACACGATCCATCGATGAGACAAATCGATCCACCAACAGATCGATTTGTGGCCTCCTCCATGCAGGAATAGGCACCAAGGAGTTCTCAGTGTATTCAAATCTAAGGCAGATGTTGGCCAGCTTGGAGGCTTGGAGGTCAAATAGGACACATACAGACAACGACTCCAATAAAGCAGTTGTCGTGTGCTGCTGCATCCCAACCCTTGGTGATTCACTTCCTGTACTGACCTCGAGATAGAAAGGAAGATGAACCATTTGTAGTTTGTAGATCTATCACAAGTTATATCCAAAGTCATTGTATAAACAACTATACGAAAGGTTATGACAAACAAACAGTTGATGCTTTGCCCGACATCTTGGTTTGGGTGGAAAAAGAATGACGCCGGACCCCCTCATCTACCAGGCTTCGGCCTGGCTTACCGACTGTCCAATACGACCGAATAAACGCTTCCAACGCCGCAGGCTCCGGAGGCGTTGAGTGGCGTTTCTTTGCTCCGGCGGGCGTTGCCGGGAGTGGACAACTTCTTGGAGCCTTGGGATCAGTTGTATCCATACACTCCATGTATGGAATATATGCCTACATCGACCCCCCCAAACTGTCGAAATGAACCAGGTCGCATGTTGCCCCTTTCGATCTTGCTTATGTTCCGCTGTCGCATCTCTCGAGCGAGGGCGGGTGTGGAGAGGATTCGCTTGTGCCATGGTCTGAGGAAAAGGCTGCGAGGAGAACCTTGGGCCCTTTTGGATAAGGGCAACCGGATTTCGTTGGGTGTGGACACCTGGTACTTTGTGGTGTGGTCACCATTGGCTGTTGGATTGCATTGTTTTCCATTGGAGTGGTCTCCAACCAGTTTTGTTGCAACCTCGAGGGCGAGGAAGCTACCAATCCTTTTGTGATTGGTAGCGGAGCCCGGTCGATTGTGGGATGGCGACAGCTACAGCTAGTTCAGAGACGACACAATCCCTGACGTCGCAATTGGCACAGCTGGTCCCAACCTTTGACCCGGGTGTTGATAGTGTTGAGCAATGGTCGCAAAAAGTCAGATTGATCTTGCAAGCTTGGCCAGAATCCCGCTTGAGAGAACTGGCAACCCGCATTGTTCTTAATACAAAGGGTTCGGCATTTCAAAAGCTTGAACTTCGACAATCTGAGGTTTTGACAGGTGACAAGGGTGGTGTTGAGAAGATCATTGAGATCGTAGCAGGGCAATTCGGACAGATCGACTTGGAGAAGAAATATGAAATTGTCGAGAGAGCCATCTACAAGTGCGTCCAAAAACCGGATGAAAGTTCGGATTCCTTTTTGGCTCGCAGCGATGTCACCTGGACCGAAGTGTTGATGAAGAAGGTGTCCCTCCCAGAAGTTCAGGCCTACATTGTTTTGCGTGGCAGTCGACTGTCTCCTGAGGACAAAAAGCGTGTGCTGGTCGAAGCCGGAGCAGAATCTGGTGGAGCTCTGACCATGCAGAAGGTTCAAGCAGCAGTGAGGATGCTGGGATCCTCCTTCTTTCAGGAGATGACTTCAGGGAAAAGAGAAATATCCTTGAAGACCTACGACAGTACCGCATTCGTGGCCGAGGAGGACAACGATGAGGAACCCGACTGGTCATGGAATGAAGAATACATGGATGAAGAAAATCTTGAAGCGTTGGCCCAAGATGATCCCGATGCAGCATTGGTTGTTCAATTTGAGGCCGCAATACAAGACGTGATTCAGGATGATCAAGATTTGTCGGCATTTTTTTCTTCGTACCAAGATGCCCGTCGGAGACTCCAAGATCGTGTGAAGGCCCGAGGCTTTTGGAGTAGTGGCAAAGGTGGCTTGAGTTCCAAAGGTTTCAAAGGTAAAGGTAAAGGAAAGGGGTTCAAAGGCTCAAAGGGTTTCCGCAGCCTTCAGCAACGCATTGCTGAATCGTATTGTCGACACTGCAACCAGAAAGGCCATTGGCGTGCAGAATGCCCAGCTCGCAAGTCTGCCGACAACCAAGGCAGTGGATCCGAGAAGAGTGCTTACGTATCCCCGACCTCCGCAGCCGTGTCGTTCGACCTCGACCAAGTTCCAGAGATTTCATTCGAGTAACCATGAACACCCTGAGGACCCTGATGTTTGTGTGTTCGGGTTGGTCGAACAAAGAGTCAAGTTCTTTGAAGAGAAGTTCAAAACCAAGCTTAGAGAGCCCAACTCCAAATCCCTGTCAGGAAGAGCCGTGAAGCCTGTCTTCCTGAGGTGAGTGCTCAAGCTAGCCGATCCAAATCCGACCAGTTTGAAGAATTTCCGAGCCTGTTCGCATCGGTAGGAACTACAGGAGTAGTTGACCTTGGTGCCTCACAAACGGTCATTGGAAGCGAACAGGTTTCCGAATTGTTAAACAATTTGCCGAGTGAGATCCAGAAGCAGGCCCGGAAGACGAAATGTAATTTGATTTTCAAGTTTGGAAACCACCAAACTCTGCCGAGCAAAGTCGCGCTTCTCCTGCCGCTTCGAGGGACCTGGATTCGCATAGCCATTGTCGAGGGAAAGACTCCATTTTTGTTGTCAAGCAGTTTCTTAAAACACGTTCAAGCAGTCATCGACACCGAAAAGGGGACATTGTGGTCAAAACGCTTGAATCGAAACTTGCACATGACACAAACTAACAAGAATCTATTCTTGCTGGACATCAACCAACTGTGGGAGTCACAAACCTCGAAACAATGCAGCGAGCCGGATTCTATCCTGATAGCTAAGAGTTCTCCGCAGGAAAGCTCCGATGTACTAACCAACTCCGATCGATGTGAGAAAACAATTCGTGCTGTGCCAGCTGAAGTCAAGGTCCCTGAACCGTTCGACAGTCAGGAGTCGTGCAAGTCGACAAGACCATCGGCCGTTTCGGAGAATTTTTCGACACATAGCATGAAGCATGAACTAAAGCTAGAGACTCAGTCACCTCAGTCTTGTGCTCCTAGCTCTTCGGAAAGTGCCGCTCCCGGTGTACCGCATTGTGAGCCCGATCATGTCCGCGCTGTCCGCTCAGCTACTTCGACTCCAGAAGCAACAGAAGGAAGAAGAGGATCACGTCGAGATCGACGAGATGACCTTGACCGATCTCGAAACACAGGTGATCATGTTCGGCAAAACCAAGATGGGATGCAAGTTCCCAGAAGCATTTGCCGACACCCAGTGGACAAGATTCGTGGTGAGCAAGTTCGAGAGCTCGACCAAGAAAGAACATCGGATGTTCGTCCGATATGTGCAACTCCGTCTCGACAAGATGGAGAAAGAGGAGCTCAGCCCGGAGGATCGATACTACTCGCACCAGACACCAGTGGATCCTACATCACTCAAGACCGAGAGGAAAGGTCCCATGACTGCTCTAAAATCCAAGGCCAAACCAAAGGCCCATGCCGCAAGTGTGCCGACATATGTTCCAGATCCTCAAGCACTGGACTTAGCAATGAGCCCGTCGTTCCCAGAGGAGCTCTACGATCGGCAAGGGCGCATGAACTCGGTGGAACACACCCTCCAGGAGATAGTCCACCATCTGAGGACGCTGGCAAGTGCATCGGTAGAGCAGCCCAGCAACTGGACGGTAGTCAAGGAAGAGCACCCGGAGATCTAGAAGAGCCAGAATACCAAAAGCTCGTAACAGAGTGTTTCAGTCTCAATCATTTCGGGGAGCCTCAACTCGATTTTGAACTGTGGGATGAAACCAAGACACGAGCAGCCTACCAGACTCTTGTTCGTAAATATCGTAAAGAGTTCCAACAAGCACAGCGGGTCATTCGACAACATGCAGCCAACATTTTTGTATGACATATTCTGCTCTTCTCAAAGCGAGCTCGTCCGCCAAAGTCAAGCCCGCGGCCTGAAAGCTTTCCGCTTCGGGTTGACGCAAGGTGATCTCAGAAACGAGAACCAGAGAAAGAATATGTTTGCACATATCCTTTTTGAACAACCAGAGAACATTTGGATTAGTCCTGAGTGCAAACCATGGTGTAAGTGGACCTCCCTGAACATGAACAAATCCATCGAAGCTTTCGAGAACACCATGAATCAGCAACGAAGTCATTTGTGGCAGATCGCACTAGTTCAAGTGTTGTTCGAATACCAGGTTGAGAGAAACAAACATTGCCACATTGAACAACCCGAAGGTTCGAAGATGCTGAGACACCCCAGTTTTGTCCAAATGAGCCAAATTGCAAAGCCGAGCAAATTCGACATGTGCAGTGTGGGAGATCTCTCTCATCCCCAAACCTTTTCTTTTTTTTTGTAGTCTTGACGACCTCCAAAGAGTTGCATTTGATGTTGCATTTTCGATACTGCAAGGGGGACCATGAGCACCATCAGATCGCAGGACATGTTCGTGATCCTGAAACGTCAAAGAGCATCCAACTGTCTTCGTTCACTGAACGATATCCGAGAAAGTTTGCAAGACAGGTAGTAGCATGTCTAAATCGAGAGCATCAAAAGCCTCAATGGACCTTTGTAGGAGAAACGAGTCAGGACGACGATCACCCCACTAAAAGGGGAAGACTGTGTCAAAAGACTTCAATAGATCTAATCAATCCAACATGGGAAACCATAATGCAGGAAGCAAATCGTCTCGCAAAACGAGTAGGTCCATCAGTCATTCAGAGTGGACCCATCATTAACAGCTTTGATTCCAGACAAGGAGGTCTCTCACATTGTCCTGTGTCGAGGAGTGGATCGAATGCTAGGCCCGCTGAAAGTAATGCATCCAGGAGAGGGCGCTCTCCGCAAGATGATATGCATTCGACGAAGATTTGAGGACGTGGTAATTGAACCAGAATGGGAAAACTGGGAAAGATTGTCCTATAGAAGGCTTAGACGCAAGTGTACCCCAGCCAGAGTCAGTCTGATGGTTTTTGCCAAGCCTCGAATAGAATATTCAGCCCGACCGGAAAACCCCTCTCATCTGAATCCGGATGATTCAGAAGCGATGACTAGAGAGTCCCAGAAGCGACTACCATCGGCAGCTGATGCCGAAAGTGAACCGCCTGCCAAGAGAAGAACCGTGGATGAGGAAAACCAAGAGAGATCAGTTCGTGAAGATCCAAAGAGTTCAATTCGAGAAATGATAGATCTTGCAAGTCAAAAACATGGTCCCAGATTCCTAGAGTTGAAAACCGAAGATCAACAATGGTTGTTGAAATTGCACAAAAATCTCGGCCATCCTGGTAGCATGAAGCTCCAAACATTCTGCAAACACATGAATTGTCAGCCATATATCCTGGAAGCTATACCAGATATGAAGTGCTCAACATGTACCGAATGCAAGAGTCAAAACATACCTAGACCGTCCGTTATTCATGAAGAAAGAGATTTCGGAGACGTGGTATCCATGGATGGAGTGACTTGGACCAACAAGAATGGAAAAATTTTCAATTTTTATCATTTCATAGACCACAGCACCGCATTCCAAACAGCAGTATGTTCACCGTCGAGAACGACTGACAGCGCACTGCGAGCCCTGACTGTGGGCTGGATTAGCTGGGGAGGACCGCCAGGTCTCCTGTGCCTTGACTCG